CTACCTGAAACCCAAAATACAAATACAATGACACACATGCCTAAACATTATTATTATTATTATTATTATTTTTTTTTTTTTTTTTACAAATCTTCAGTGATGTTCATCCAAAATATTTTGATAGAACAGCTTAAGGTTGGAAAAAATATTGTTCCCTTATTTGCATACAAATGCAGCAGAAAATATAAGAAATAAAAATATACCACAGTCTGTTTATATGTAATTATTTTAGCCCAACAAGCTTTTTCAAAAGTCTATATCTGCCTTTGATAATCACTAAAAATATCAGCTTTTTAAACTGGGTTCTTACATGATATTTGTAAACAAAGATAATGTTTGCACTCATGATGCACTAGTTTATCAGTATTCACAGATGAACAGACACCAGAGGGTGCATTATAATGGAACAATGATTTTCACAGTGGCCTGCAAAGTATACAAAGGAAGAGCAATTAGAAATTGTCAAATTTATGGCAAAGATAATTGCTGCAAAATGGTGACTATTCCAGCCACTCATTTTGAATAAAGAGCTACTAAAACAGTTATTACTTCCACTGTTTCACATTGCATAACAATCACTGATTGTCACATCTGTCCCTTTAAATTTGTTCAGGTTGTAAATTCCTTCACAAGAGGTGTTAACGTAATGTTGTCTACTCTCTGGTAATATGGTGAAAACAAGGATTGCATTAAACAAGCTAGGAACCAAAGTGAATTAAATATATTCTCAACAACATCCTGATGTGAGTAAAATTATAAACAAGAGACTACATTTAACAACTAAACACCAGAATAAGTTATAATCATGGAAATTACAATAATAAGTCTGGATGAAGATTACTGGTGCTTAATAGGTAGAAAGAAAACAAGACTATGAGACTGAACAGACTATCTTGTGTTCCAGACAGTGTGAAACAGCAGAAAAACAGGTGAAAGAAATAATATACAGCCTGGCTGAACCTTTTTATTGGCCTTAAAGTGGTAACCCTGCCCAGCAGATCAAACTACACTTCCCACAGTGCTGTAGCCCTTTGCTTTGAGTTATTACTATTAATTAGCATTTGATCAGTGTGAGAAAGGCAGCAGAGTTTTGTATGTGTTGCTTTATGCAACACTGATGCTTTGGGGTCAATTTGTTTCAGTTGGCTTTCCTGTGCAGACTGAAAAACATTATTTATGAATGTTTTCTCTGTATGTTTTGGCATTAAAAGGGAAATTGGATAAAACTGTGTAATATGTCGCCACTACAGAGATAATATTTGACTAATATAAAATGTGATATAACATTAGATTATAATAACACAAACAGGTGGGGAGTGCTGACCCAGATTAAAGGTGGGATAAGCGATTCTGGAGAAATGCAATTCCATGACAAATACCATGACAACACAGCAAGTAATCGAACTAACATTAGCAACATTGTGAATTAGCAGACTGTTGCTACAGTTGCTACTGTGAAGCAAACATGCAGAGGACAAGACAGTCCCAGAGTCAGCACAGCAGTTCCAGACAGTGATACTAGCAACTCTCCTTCTGCTATAACTAACAGCAAGTCATTTAGCGTTACCTGACACACAAATGGCTCTTCAGTAACATTTAGTGCCATCTGTGGGAACTGTAACATCTACAAAGTCACTTTGTAAAAACATATTGGCACATTGAGAATGGACTATTGAGTCTTCATTGTGTAATTCAGTACAGTACTGGAGAGATAAGATTTAGGTTGCATATGTTAACGATGAATACAAGCTCACTAAAGAAGTAGTACCGTTGCGCAATCTAGCAATAACTGGTAGGCTAAAGGTAGCATGCTCACAGTGACAGTTTTATCTTTGTGTTTTATTCCACTAGAAATTGACAAACAGCCAGCAATATGAGGTAGCCTACAGTGAGATAGCTTCAATAATGTGGCAAGATGAATTTTGATTAACTGTGTCCACATTTGTGCAGGTTGTTTTGGTATCCAATAAATATGATACCAACCAAGCGGATTTCAGTGGCTCTATATCAGTGGGTGGACTTGGAGATTAGAGCATTCAAAGATCTTAGCAGACTAGAAAGCACTACAGAAGGCCAGAAGTATTAACAGTCATTGAAGTAACTAAGAAGGTACTAGTTGGCTTTGATCAGCAGTATATGCAAATCCTTTAAATCGCATTGAGATATTACTACCTATAAAGTTTTGCAGTACCTCAGTTTTCAGGTCAATGTTCACTTTGTTTCTCATTTAAAAATTTAATTAAAGTATCTCTAAGCGTACAACTGAATATGACTTGAAAGTAAAACAATAGAAAACTCCCAGCATTTATTAATTTATGGGATTTCAGTCAACTGAAACTTAAATGTTGTAAATTATTAAATATCCCAGCAGGAAAGTAGGCAAGAGTTTTCTCATTTGAAGAAGGCAAAAAGACAGACAGCCAAATTTAAAACACCACATGCGGGCCAAGCAGGGTAGTCCAGACGTCCAGTAATATCTTCCAGCTCCTCCTGGAGGATGTTGGATTTCCCCAGGGTTTCCTATCAGTTGGACGTGTCCGGAAACCCTCCAAAGTGAGGTGCCCAGGAAGCATCCTTACCAGATGCCAGAAACTGCTTCATCTGGCTCCTTTTTTATGTGAAGGTGCATCGGCTCTTCCCCGAGCTCCAGATGTCTGAGAAGAGGACCCAAATGCATTTGTGCCCTTTTCATACACATGATTACATCATCGGGTGATCTGCATTCATAGGCCTGAGCTCTGTTGGTGCTGAGGAACTTGAGCATCCCCAAACTTTCACCTGCCCTTCCACCAACTTCACTTCTAAAAATTACATTATTATATTAAACAAAGCCAATAAAACACTGGTTGGCCGGCAAAATGTGAAACCAACCAGTCAAATGATGCACGATTTAAAGTTGCAGTTGTTGCCAGTACAAGACAGCCAAACCAGAAGCTATTTCTATTTTCTAGCTGCCAGTTTTCAGCAGCTACACCCAAACATCAGTATTAATTTTGAAGGTGTCTGAGGCAGCTTGCGTGCAGCAATGTTGATGACGTCACTGACAATACTGACTGTAGCAGCAATGTCATCAGACAATAAATGTGAAGGAAAAGATCTTCATAGCAAACATGAACACAGAGAAGAAGCACCATGGCCTGGTTATATTTTCAACAAAACACCACCTGGCATTTATTAAGAGGATTTTGCGGATGGCAGCACACATTGGAACAATTCAAAAAGCATCAGAAATCAGACTGTCACTGTAAACATGCTTCCAAATTCCAAGCATACAAATGGTTTATGTAATGCTGAGGGCAGGCGAGCAGAGAGACATGCAGGAAATTAAGTAAGTAAGTAAAATTTATTTAATATAGCACCTACACAGAGCAATGTCACAAAATTCTTCACAAATTAAATTGTTAAAAATAAGACCAAAAAATAGTAAAAACAAACAAATAACAAAACATAAGCAACAAGACCTTAAAATTACAAAATTACACACACTAGACAGCATGATGCAAGACAAAGGACAATTTGAATTAACGAGTCTTCAGCTGCTTTTTAAAGGCATCAGCAGAGACTGCAGAATGTAAGCGTATATGGGGAAGACCGTTCCACTTCAAAAGGCACAATCACCTTTTGTTTTCAGTCAAGTTTGAAGAATAACCAGTATGCCCTGGGGCCTCATTTATAAACGTTATGTAGGCACTAAAAAAGGCGTATGCCACTTTGGGATTTATAAACAACATACTTGATGGAAGAATGTGCAGCCCTGCACGGTAACGCTGACCTGAAAAATTGTGACTCAGATGGCAGAGAGATAACATATTCTAACAGTTGAAGTTGATAAAATTGTGTAAAAGAACTCAAAATAAAATGTCTGTTAATTTATTCCATTGACCCACTCCTCTATTTTTAGCCATCTTAGCAGTGTGGTGCTAGGAATTGGAATGCTGGTCTGTCAGTGAGTCGGTTGGTCTTTTCACTTGGTCCAGACTGAAATATCTCAACAACCAATGGACAAATTGCTTTGCAGTTTTATACAATTATCCATTGTGTCCAGAAGATAAAACTACTAACTTTAGTAATCCCCTGATTTTTCATCACATGCCACCATTAGGTTAACATTTGTGGTTTTGGGTAAAGTGTCTTGACAACTATAGGATGGATTGGCATGAATTTTGGTATATCATGTTCTCTAGAGGATGAATCCTAATTACTTGGGTGATTATGTACTTTTTCATCTAGTATCATCATCAGGTCAAAAATGTATTTGTCCAATAAGCTTGTGTTTAATTCTAATTATAAATGCTAACACACTTACAGTACCTTCCACGTTTCGCTTCCACTGACAGCTGTGGACTTACACTGGCAGACACACATACAGTTCCATTCATGCTAAAATGAGGGTTGCTGCTCCACGCTTCGGGATCATTGCAGCAAAGTATAGCAGCAAACAGATTGGACTGTAGTAATGTTTCACTGATTATTCCCGAGATGTGCCAAGCTCTACGGAGTAGCCTGCAGCCGGAGTTCATTGCATTCCCAACCAAGCACAGTGAGGGGAGGTAGCACACGATTTCTGGATGATTTGGAACTTTCCACTGTGTTTCATCAATGGAAAGCATGTGCAAATCAAAGCACCAATGTCCAACAGTACCAACTACAAATGTACAAGCTCCATTGCCCCATTATCTGGAGCATGGGCAGTCGGTGTACTTGCTATGCATACAGTCCTCGCGGTCACAAATTGACAGCATTTGTCACACTGACCAAAGCACACGCTTGCGGACGTAAAAAGTATGAATTTGGCTTAAATATATACCTCTTTCTATATCAGTATGTTAACATTGTCATTGTGAGAATGTTAGCATCCTGATATTAGCACTCACTCTCTGATTTAAGAAAATTTAGTTCTGTAGGTGTATGTTTTTTAATTCCTGCCGATACTGCTAAGTTTAATACTTGCCAAAACAAACATAAATTCTAAGTATCCATTGTTGTTACTTTTGTTGCAGATAAAGATGCATGCCTTCCTGTTACTTGGCTGCTTTGTCCTTGCTGCGACAGAGTACTTCCTTGGCTCTGCCCACATGATCCCTGATGAGAGACTTTCCACCAACAGAGTTGTTGTATCTAACGCTCTGACTCAAAACCTTGAGATAGGCTCACCTCCTGTAGTTATTGTAGGTAAGTTTGCAAGTTAAAATTCAGTGTTTTCATTTCACTTGTACAGGCAGTACAAGGGTTTATTTTTTAAATGTCTCCAATTTTTATAAATAACTGAATTCATAATGTTGCATTTGTAATGTTCCTGGTCATTTTTGTACTGTACTGGCTATACTGGTGTTTCCTGATGAGACACAAATGCAGGAGGCTGCAAGCCAGAGCAGCTGATAGTTGTGGAGTTTTTTGAAAGGCCAAGCATAGTGGTACCACACCAGATCATGTACAAAGGTAACTAAAGGTACTCAAAATGTGAGATAGATAGTGAGCTAATTAGAGAAACTAAACTGTGGCAATGTCAACTGTGGCAGGCGCCACCACAAATGCATTGATACAAACTCAATTACTATTCAGCAGGTAGCTTTTATAAATAGAGCTTTTTGGCATATTTGCTGAAACTGTCACTATGTGGTATCTAGGGAAACAAATTCTGGTTCCCCTGGCTCCTGCTGTTTCTAATGGCATTTGCAAGAATCCACTGTGACTGAATCAAAATAACCAATCAGAACCAGAGGGAGACTATAATCGAGTGTTAATCCCTGTTCGGGCGCATGCTGCGCAGCCCCCCTCCCCGCACTTGTGGTCAAGTTCAATATCTTCAGCACAGCTTCAGACATTTTGCAAACACAATTGCTGAACCAATCACCAGCACTGAAAGAACAGTCCATCCCTCTTTTGCCAACAACAGCGTATAGTACAAAACACATGTGTGAACACGTCTCTCCACACAGAGCTTCGGGCTCATTATATTTGTTGCCATGACACTCGAATTGACAAATGGGGAATAACTTTAGAGGACAGTGATGTACTAGCTTCTCATCCTGCCGTTAGACGTCGCAGCTGTGAGAAGATGAGTTGCAAGACGGACTGGGGTCTTGGTGAGGCTCTCACCGTGGAGAGCGAGCCCTATGAGGGATGAGGCTTCCTCTGCTGCTATGTGAACCTGCGGGTTTGGTTGGAGGGGCATAGCAGGGTGATACGAGCTGCAGAGAGAGACGTGGAAGGTTTGGCATTGTATGTTCAACTGCAGCTTTAACAAGTGTCTTTGTGAGGTTGGATGCTGTGCACTCTGGGACAGGCTTGTAGGATGATGTCAAATATAATCTTTTCCACTGTGATTGGAAATGACAGTGGAATGTATCAAGTGAAATTATTATTTTTTGTTCTGTTTCAGAGTTGCCTAAATCAGCTAAGAAGAACAAGAAAACAAAGAAACAAAAAAAGGTATGACCAAAAAAAAGTTTTTTAAGGTGTATGATGATGACTTATTCAGAAATCATGCTAGATATGTTTATTGAAAAATTATTAGATATCAAAAAGTAAGAATGAATGTTCCTTGTGAGGCAAAATTATTTTTATTATTAACTCAAAAGGTCCACTCACTTTTTCTTCTCATGGTCTTGAGTGTAAGATGGTTAAAAAAAAGCTAATAAGTCAACCTTTTCAGCTGAGATTGTCTTGTCACATATACTTTGTCCAAAGCCAAGAGTGTACTGCTATTTTTGAAACTCATCTACAATTTTCTCACAATCTGGCTATAACAGTATTTCCACTCAAGACACATTAAACTTTTCCATCTTTCCTAACTCATATTTTCTCCATAGTCACATACTGCAGTTATGTGTATTTCTTTTTCTTTTTCTTATCTGTGTTCTTATTTTTGCTTGCTTACAACAGTATGATCTCATGTATTGTAATTGCTCTCTCTCAGAACAAATTCAGCGTGAAGAAGCGCCCTCCTCCTCCTGCTGACTGCATTCCCTTGTGGGGAAGCTGTAAATCTCCAGGCAATGTGTGCTGTGATTTCTGTGCCTTTTGCCAGTGTCGGCTCTTCAAAACTGTCTGTATCTGCCGAATGGGCAACCCTCGCTGCTGAACAGCCAGCTGCAGCCCAAACCAGCTCCAAGCTAACAGAACAAAACTTCATGCTAAAGCAAACCACTTGCGTGAACACTGTGAGAAGTGAATCATTTCTAGTGCTTGGTTAACTTTGCCTAAAATACATTTCATAAAAGCACTTTATCACAAAGAACTGCATCACAGTGAACTTTCCTAAAACTTACAGGGTTTACTGCTTATAGCACTGTAAGAAAAAATCACAAATAAAAGTTTAAAATAAACTTTTAGCACGCATAAAGAGGATATAGTTGCTCAAACTATTTTATATATTGCTTTACTTTTACATAAATGTGCAGTAGCATACTTTAATTACAATGAGTATCAAATATTTTATGAAGCCATGTATGAATTAAGTTGTTACACAACCTTTTATAAAAAGTGTTATTGTTTTATTTGTGTCTATACGACAGGACCAATTTCAAGTATTTTATTTAATCTTAGCTGTTGACTTGGATCTCCACCAAAGTGTTATACTGTAAAACTTTGATTAATAGCCCGGGCTTTTATTTACTAAAATCACTGATTTGACCCTGCCTATATTTGGGACAGACGTCCATATAGGACAGGCCTTTAATTCCTCTTGCACAAAACTGAAATAGTCTACTATGAAACAGTTTATTTATTTCAAACAGAATATTACTTGTATAAAAATGATCAAATAATGTCAATTACACGTCAATCATTTGATCTAGCTCCGACAGATTATGCGCTTTTATTTTGAAGGTAGCAACGTAATGAAAACAACAACAGGGTGCAGGTTGAGAGAAATGTGGCAGAAGTTAGCAGACAGAGAGCGATGGACTTCACAACAGTATTCACATCTTGGATTAATTTTTATTTTATTAATCTATAAGAATTGGACTTTGGGGCTCATTGTTTCCGTTAAATGAATTGAACGATTGAATTGTGGAGAATCTAACTGATCTAACGATGTGTAGCATGTCCATAATGACATTTTGATATATAAAAACCAGACCAGGCATTTAACCGAGGCTGTTTATTTGTCAAAATGTGTTCCCACACCAGGCCAGTAAATGGGGTATTTGGGACTCAGCTATTAATTGAAGTTTAACGGTATCCAGTATCTCACAAAAGTGTGTACACCCCTCACATTTTTGTAAATATTTGATTATATCTTTTCATGTGGCAACACTGAATTAAAAAAAGACACATTGCTACAATGTATTGAGTGTACAGCTTGTATAAAAAGTGTAAATTTGCTGTCCCCTCAAAATAACACATCACACAGCCATTAATGTTTAAACCGCTGGCAACAAAAGTGACTAAAATGTGAGGGGTGTACTCCCTTTTGTGAGATACTGTATAAATGTATTCAGTGTTCTCTTGCTTTTATCATGTATTGTTTTTGTATTATTGTCTTTTGTGTATTATTGACTTTACATTTGTTAAAGCACTTTGTAACTTGTTTTTGAAAAGTGCTCTACAAATAAAGATTATTATTGTTGTTGTTATTATTATTATTAAATAAAACATATTGGATAAAGTTGACAAATCCAAGGACGACCTTATTAACAACTTTATGACTTACTCAACAAGCCCATTGCTTTTTAACTGAGACATACATCTTTATAAAATTATAAATATAAATTTCTTAAAAACAGACTTAGTAATTTCCTAAAACAACTGGACAATGTAATTGTTTACAAATGATACTCTAATAGGAGATTTTTCTAGAGTGTTTCTCTAGAAGAATTTTCTTTTAACCTCTCCATCATTTATTATCTTGTTTAATAAATGCTTTACCTTTCTTATCATCTGTGTTTTGTTACTGAGGAAAATAAATTCAGCCCAGGAGTCAGCTCCTTCTGTTTTAAATCACTGCCAAACTGTTGGGCAGATAACAAACATATTTCCTGGGACCTTCAGGCTGTGATTTCCATTATGTCATTGCTACATTAATATAAACACATGGATTTTCAAATTCCTTTAGGAGATCAATAATGAAGAATAATGAGATGTCAGTGAGAACTGTAGCCTTTTAAAGATTGCTTACATTGGAGTGTCTGTAGTGTGAATGATCAACAGGTTGGATTGGAGGAGAATCTGGCATGGAAGAGTAAAAAGAAAAAAGTCTCTCCTCTCTCCTGCAGCTGGTTGAATGAGAGTTTGAATGCACTTATTGTAAGTCTTCGGACAGAACTGTGAAATGAATTTAATGTAAAGAGTTAGGCTAAAAAAGTTTAAATGATGGCTTTACCTCAATAAATTAAGGTTAAAAAGGTGCATATTAGCAACTTGATGTTTATTTATTTATAACAAAGTAAGCACCCTTAGAAAGAACATTTTTAAGGACAAGTCAGCCAAAGGGAAAAGGTAGATTGAACTTGCATGAATTGAAATAATCTTGGTGGTAACTTTGGCACCAGATCTACAATCGGTTTAAGTCTTTTGGTTACATTTTAGTCATTTAATTAGCCTTTGATAATGTAATCTTAATTTTAGCTCACCTTATTATAATTGACACCATGCTTTCCTGTTCTCGTGGTTTGTCACAGCTGTTTTGTTGCTCCCTCTTACAGTATTTTTAGTGGAAGGAAAATTTAGTCCATAAATCTGTTGCTATTCAACACGTCCTCATACCTAATATGAAATACATGACCGACAGACGCACCGGATATTCTGCCATGGTAACAATAAACATGTGGTGAAACTGTTGCAATTTTGTTAAGTTTAAGAAAAGGTCATGATTTTGGTTAAAATAAGTAAGTTACCTTAGTAAGTCACATGACATAATGTAACTTATATACATAGCTTATGTATGTAACTTAAGATGAGTCAGTTTTCTAGATCTAGATCTTGCAGCCTAACCATAAACGTAAAGGAGGCTGCGTTTCATCACTGCTCTGCCGCTGCCGAGCAACGTTACTTCACACAGAGAGACACACCCACACAGCACACACAGACATGTTGAAGGAAGATTGAATCAATGTAGTTAGTGATACAGAGTGAAACTGTAAGTTGTGGTTAGAGACTGTCATGTTGTGGTGGCAGCCCGGCTGACGGTGAGTGTCCTGTTTCTTTCTCCTTTTTTCTTGCATTCTGTTTTCCCTTGCATTTTCCCTGCCTCTCTGTGTGTCCTCTGTCTCCTGTTTCCTCGTTTTGCCACAGTTTAACAACTGATAAGATTAGATGCAGTAAATACCTAATTTAAAGCTCCTTAAATAGATTTCTTTCCCTATTAAATTCAACAGTTTTTGTGTGCGTCTCTCTCCAACGTACACATGCTGGACGCAGCAGTCTTAAGTACCATCATGCGATGGATTTTAGAGTCAGACTGTCTCACGTAGACTTTTGTTTGTTGTTTTTTTTTCAAAGTACAGAAAGCAAAGAGAAAGTTATAAGGAGCATGGCCAGTGCTGTCATTGTCAAAATCCTGAAACGTCACTACAAACAGCTGAGTGCAGGAGTCTACTCTGCTGAAAAGACTTTTTCGTGCTATTTCAGTATATTAACCTCCCGAATCACCAAAATCATATTCCCCTTCGACAGAGAGGCAAGACATTATGGTGAAAAACAAAGAAGTGGCCTACTCGTAACACAACACCATGTTCCGAAAACAGGCCTGCTATGGTGCACACACAGTTTAATACCCACAAGCACATCCACACAATTAAACAGGTAGGCCTACTCAGCGGTGATCTGTCCTTGGTGACAACAGCTTTTAAAACAGTGGCACGGCAGCCACACCAAATCCACTGGAAACGCACTTTGCAGCTTTGAATTACAGTTACACTTACACAATGTTAACATAGTTAACACTTATAACGGAGTTATCTGACATCTTTGCTAGGTTAGCTAGCTAAAGTAATAACATTAATCAACCAGAGTTAGCAGCTCTTTGAATCCTGGTCAATAAGAAGCTAGCTGTGGTACCAGTGTCAAATCTAATTCAAAAATGGATTGGACAAAACTAGTGTTTCTTTTTTTCTTTTTTTTCTTCTGCATGTGTGTTGACTCAGTAGGGATGATATTACATGAGAAAGTTGATCTACAGGAGAAACATATGAAAGCAATACAGAATGACTGAGAGCTACACTGATGTAAGTTCTGTTTTAGATATTGTGTCACCTCACACCTGAATTTTGTGTTTCCCTTTGCTTAAATAAAAACATTTCCACCAAAAATTGATGCAGGGAAGACAGAAATTGGTGCAGGAAAAATTCACCAGAATGCAGGAAATTAAGTGTTTTAATGCTCTAGCTAATAGATTTCAGGATTCATGAGAGACTCTATCGTTGTATACAAAATACAACAATAGTCTCTCTCATGAAATGCAGTTTAGAGCAAAACATTGAATTCAGCAGCTTTGAAACAGCACAATTAAAATAGTGTTTTACAAAACATCACATCAACACAGCATCACAATTTGTCCATTAACCGACTTCAGTCAGGGCTCCGGGCACCGGGATGCTAGCGCCCCGGCTCCCTACCCTCAACCAACCACAGTAACAGACAGGCTGCAGTAGGGGTTTTCGGCACCAAGATGCACCCTACCAACAACCTCAGCAGCTGCCTGCAGTAGGGGTTTGGCACCAAGATGCCAGCACCCTCCACCGCACCCTACCACTAACCTCAGCAGAGGGAGTCAGTAGGGACTTTGGACACCGAGATGCCAATAGTTGTTTCGAGCTAACATTCGGTGCTCAGTCGTCTCTGACATGTGGCTAACATTCGGCTAACAGTCATTTCGAGTTCAGTAATTTTGAGCCAACAGCATTTTCCAGCTAAGGCATTCCGAGTCGTCTTTACCTAAATTGGTATAATCATTTCAAGTTTCTAGTTAAGTCGTCTTTAAGGTAAGTCGTTTCAAGAAACGTTGGGCTAACAGTCCTTCAACCGAACTATGTCGGTATTTAAACTATGTGTACTTCCTGCTTTCTTACAGTGCAGACGCTTTGCTGCTTGCTCTTACCTCTGCTTGTATTGTTTTGCTGAAACTATTTATTTTTGTATTTATTTTTGTATTTTTTTCCTGCTAGAAATTATGAGCAGCGGCTCTTGGATACTTTTAAATCACTGGGACTGTCAGATATAGTAGGCTATTGCTATACTTTAAACACTTTTTTATGATCTTAGTGCTACGTGAGTGCGGCCTATCAATGGCACTAGCCTGTACTGCAGTGACTGGAATTATATACATATTTTTTAAAACCTGTCCTGCCCTGCAGCCTGGTATAGAGTATGATGACCTGGATACCATATTGTGCCAGACAGATTTTACTTTAACAAGAGAGTATTAATATACTCCTTTGTCTGTTTTATTATTTATTTAATTATGTATTGATTTGTCACCGGGGCCGGACAGGGGGGCAGACACGGGGATGGGGGGGCACAAACAGACAGCACAGAGAAAGGACAAGACCTGTAAGAGAAGGGGGATGGAAGGTGGGGACAACAGGTAAAAGCAGCGGGAAACACCAATTGCGGAAAGCAACGAAACCTGCAATAGAACAGAGAGGGGGGCTTGGGGAGGAGAAAAACAAAACAACAACAAACAAACACAAACAAAAACAAACAATAAAAATAATAATAATAAAAGACAACCAGCCGAACAGCAGCAATAAACAG